TCAAGTGTAATTTAGCTTTTCTCTTAATGGATTTATCTATACTATATCATAAAACATTTGACAAAAACTCTTAAAAACGATTTTTTATGCACGAAGTACTGTTTATTGATGCATATTACTTAAAATTTAAGATTACAAGTAAATCTATACTATATTATAAAGCATTTGACAAAAACTCTTAAAAACGATTTTTTATGCACGAAGTACTGTTTATTGATGCATATTACTTAAAGTTTAAGATTACAAGTAAATTGTGCATAATTACAACTTGTTAAAGCTTCATACTTGAATTCGTCTAACTAACTGCAGATAAACATAATCAAATATTGGATAAACATCTCATTTTAAATATAAAAAATATAAAATATAATTAGGATAATCATTGATAACTAACATAATACTTATTTATTATCTTTATAAAAAAAATTATATTATTAAACCTAAATTAAATTTATTTGTTACTAAACCTAAATTATCTATACTATATTATAAAGCATTTGATAAAAAATCTTAAAAACGATTTTTTATGCACGAAATACTGTTTATTGATGCATATTACTTAAAATTTAAGATTATAAGTAAATTGTGCATAAATAAAACTTATTAAAGCTATATATTTGAATTCGTCTAACTAATTGCATATAAACATAATCAATCATTGGATAAACATCTCATTTTAAATATAAAAAATCTAAAATATAATTAGGATAAGCATTGATAACTAACAGAATACTTAGTTATTATCTTTATAAAAAATTATATTATTAAACCTAAATTAAATTTCTTTGCTACTAAACCTAAATTAAATTATAATTAAAAAATTTTAATTAAAAAATTACACCAAAACAAACAAAATTTTAAAAAGATTAATTTAATACTGATATCGATATTTTTTTTTCAAAATTTTATGATATTTTTAAACTTATATTTTATCCAAAAAATAAAAACATTATCACTTTCTCCAAACTATATAAAACAAATGTTTACTTAAAATTCAAGATTACAAGTAAATTATGCAAAAGTACAACTTATTAAAGCTCGATGATTGAATCCGTATAACTAATTCTGGATGAACATAATCAAATAGAGGATAAACATATTATTTTAAAATATAATTAGGATAATTATCGAGTTCTAACAAAATAATTAATTATTATCTTTATAAGAAAATTATATTATTAAACCAAATATAAATTACTTCGTTATTGTACTTAAATTAAATTATAAAAAAAATTGAATTAAAATTACACAAAAAATGAGGAATTTTAAATAGTTAATTTAATACGAATATCAATATACTTTTGTTATGCATAAAGTACTGTATATTGATGCATATTACTTAAAATTTAAGATTACAAGTAAATTATGTATAAGTACAACTTATTAAAGCTTGATGTTTGAATTCGTCTAACTAACTGCAGATAAACATAATCAAATAAAGGATAAACATCTCATTTTAAAATATAAAAAATCTAAAATATAATTAGAATAATTATCGAGTTCTAACAAAATAAATAATTAATTATCTTTATAAGAAAACTATATTATTAAACCAAATATAAATTACTTTGTTATTGTACCTAAATTAAATTATAAAAAAATTAAATTAAAAAATTACACAAAAAATGAGGAATTGTAAATAGTTAATTTGATACTACCATCGATATATTTTTGTCAAATTTTTATGATATCTTTAAACTAAAATCTTATTAAAAAATAAAAACATCATCGCTTTCTCAAAATCACATAAAACCATATTATAACATTGACTAAGATAAAAAATAAAATAAAATATTAAAATCAAGATGTATCTCGCTGAATTGCGCGAGTACTCTTCTAGTACATACAAAAAAAGATTTTTTTCCGACAAAATAGTTTTTTGATGAAATTTTACATTTTAGTTATCGTCCATGTATAAAAAATATCTTTTAGGATGTATCGAAAAATCTTTGGGGTTTTAGTTTGATGTTTGCAGAACGTGGGATCCCTTTTACCCATGAATTTCTGGGGACCTATGATGGATACATCTTCGTGTTTAATGAGTATGGAGGAACGATTGGACCATCAACAACCATTGAAGAAACGATAGTGTTAAATAATGTGCTTGTTATGACGTACAACTGTTACCATTCTTGTAGAGTATTTTATAGGATCTATAAGTTTATAAGATCAATAATAATGTATCGTATACAAAAATATTACAATAAGTTGTTAGGAAAAAGTAATCAACGTAACAAAATTTATTTCTAGTTGTTCAGACGAAGTTCGATAACTTAATAGGACTCAAAAAGTAATCGTTGTACTAACCATTTTACATACACTGTCTGAAAAATATTTCGTAAAGAAATATTCCGAAAACGTCTTATAAAAGACAAGTAAAACGATTTATTTATCGAGTCTTATTAGGCAACGGTCAAATTCCTCGTTCTAGGTTGATTGTTATCACATATCTATTTTGTTAAGTTTATAGGACGTCACCGGTTTTAAAGCGTCCTGATAGACTGTTTTATATGACTTAATTTATAGAATCAAAACATAAATGATCCTATCTAAAGACGTTGTAACAAGTTTATAGAACGTTTTTGAAAGTCTTAACAAGTTTTTTAGGATACTTTTAATAAAAAAGTGTCTCATTAGTTATTTTATAGGACACTTTTAAATAATTTGTTTTACAAACCCATATTTTTATAAGACATTGGCTTTGTATAAGACACATTTTCAAATAGTGTTCTATAAAATAGCTAATGCTACGCTTTGTATTAAAAGTGTTCTAAAAGACTTGTTAAGACCCTTAAAAGTGTTCTATATACTTATTATAACGTTTTTATATAAGATTCTTTATTTTCTGGTTCTATAAATTGAGTCCTATAAAGCAGTCTATTAAGATACTTTAAAATTGATTTCGTCTTATAAACTCGATTTTATTGTAGTGAAAATCGACAAAAAAAAATAAAAAAAATAGCAGCCATCGGTTCTTGGAATATACCATTTGGAGGGGAGAGTTCTTTGTGTGTGTGTATATATATATATATTATGTTCTGATTTTTTCTATGAAAAGAACAAAAACCTAGAAGAATATATTTAAAAAGAGTGGGGCCAAAGTATTGGTGGTGATAGCGTTTCTCACATTGATTGCACCACCCCCGATGTGTTAATATGCATTAAAATTTGCATTGTGAAAGTCTTGTGCCTTGTATTATGACTCCTATCAACCCTTCATCTCACAACTTTACGTTGACAACGATTTCTCTTTAATTCTTGGATCGAAAACAACTGTTTTTCATTGACGGTGGTGTAATTAAGAACCCTACATCTATTAATTATCTGTTTGTTTTGTCCCTTTTTAAGGTTATTTTTCATAAAAGATCAATTAGTATTTGTTTTATATGCTATAAATGATATGAATCATAAAAATTATCGTTTAATCTCTCCGTTTAGTTTAGTGTTGGTTAAAAAATACTCTTTCAGAAAAGTCAATTTATTAATATTTAACCAAAAAAATATCGATCTAACATCATACATAATATACCTTCAATGATATTATTTGAAATATAAAATATGTATATACGGTAAAACTCATACATATTTTACATTTTCTGTGAGGTTTGAACGTTCGACCTCCAAGAAGTTGAGATTTACTGATAAACAAGATTCATACTAATTACCATTTCACAACAATTTATGATATTATCATGAGTTCATGACATCATTAGTAACTTGACTTATCATTAACGCATTATTTGATAAATATAAACTAATTTATTTTATGGGTACACGTTTGGACGAACATAAACTAACTTATTGAAACGCTAGATAAAGTAACAGTTTAGGAGCTTTGTATCACTATTTCTAATTATAACCCTCATTAATATTTATTATTATTTATTACTATTAACTATAAATTCAATTGTGTAGTCAGATAAATATTATTATGATATTCTTTTGTTGTGATATTTAAATAGTTATTGCATGTTTTATGCATAACAATAGCTTAAACTCTTAAGCTATTAATGATTTGTGCTAAATCATTGTTTAGATATGCAATTAATACAACTTTAATTTTCGTCACAAAATAATCTATGCAATTTGGTATACAAAGAAGTATTTTATTTTGGCAATTGAGTATCATTTGGTGCTCAAATATTTATTATGAATAATCTATGTGTATTTTGATATATATTAGTTATAAGTGTAATGTAAGTAGTTAATGAATTTATCTCATTATAACAAATTAAGGGGTCGTTTACTAAATTATTACTTGTGTAACTGTTTATCAAGTCACATTACCTTATTGGATGAATATAACATAAACCAAAATTTTATCTAGTAAAAACGAAAGCAATGACCGATAGTCTTACCCAGTAAGTAAGGGCGATGACTCTTACCATGGTTAGCGTTTACCAGGTAAATTATTGCATAGGAAACCGTTTTGGTAGACTAAAATCTTACTTGATAAGTAAGTGATAGTGTTGAATTTTATCGGTAAACACTTATCCGAGTAAACCTTTGATAAAGAGTCCCTAATTCGTTTTAATTTAAATGATTCATAAATTGATTTTTTTGCTATTCATAATTTTTTTAAACAATCATTTTTCATAACCACTTGATCTAAATTGAAGGTAATTTTTTTTTTCTTCATTGAGACAATTTGTTCAACACATGAAACAAAAACAACTATTTATCTTAAATCGTAAACTAGATTCATACAAATAGCTTAATCTATTTTGAGTTTAATAGGGAAAAAAACAGTCTTAAAGAAGAGGGAACTAATTGTTTGAGTTAGATCAAATTAGCTAATTGCTTAATCATTAAGCCGTAAATAAACAGCCGAATAAAGATACATGATTGAACGAATAAACACATTCATATCCTAAAATAGATAACCGTAGTAATTGATTGGTTTATTTAAGTCTTGAATTATACAAAGGTTCTCAAGATTCATATCTAACGTTTCTAAACAGACTAATCTTTTAAACAGAAGAATCCTAGAATCGTTGTGTTTAAGGGTTGCCACCTTCCCATAGCCAAACCAGCATGTCATCTACTTCATCATACATATTAATCTCGTCAAAATCAAACATCTTTGTTTCTGAACGATTAAGCCTCAGGAGGTTTTGATCATCTTCTATGTCATCAATGTTCCATTCATTCATGTTCTTCATATATTCAATGTCAATTTGTTTTGTTGAATCCATATCCTCGCTCTCTAGAAAATAGTTTATGTCGATCAGTTCATCATCTTGGACCGCTAATCCATTCAATCCCAACTCGTCACTGATACCATTGATATCATAAACTAGATTTTCTTTGATATTTGCTCTGACAGAAATTGAACAATTCCCCACATTTTGATGATCTCCTTGACCGTCCACTGTTGTCGGCGGGGATGATTTATTGGTAGTAAATTGTGGGGTTGGCTTGCTATTCTTGAAAACTCTATTCTTGTTATACTTTTTTGCAACACATCGGCTTACTCGACCAACTCTTGGTTTCTTTTGATTGTCTAGTGTGGCTATATCGATTGATGTTGGCGTCTTATCGTTTTTGCTGGTGATGAAACGATATATTTGTCGACTTAAATGAGAATTCCAATGATTCTTGATCTCATTATCTGTGCGTCCCGGTAAATGACTTGCTATCATGGACCACCTATAGGACAAATTCAAGAAATCGATCTAGTAAAGAATATATATATATATATATATATATATATATATCAATTTTATTGTGTAGGGTGTTAATCATGGATATTATCATCTTCATTATTTTAATTTTAGAGAAATACATGAAACAGTTTCATTAAAATTTCATTAAGTAGTATATAAAACAATTTCATAACCATATATGAAACAAATTCATCAAAAAAGTATTATATGAAACAATTTCATGAAAAAATTTCATAAGATTAAACAATGAAATCGACGTATGAGGGTGGTTTGTAAGGTTTTTACAAATGAGGGTGGTTTTCATTTGATCGCTCCTCATATATATATATAAATATAATTGGGATTATGTGAGACCAAAATTTTTTCGTGAGACCCGTAAGACATTAATAACTTAACCTATATTAACCTAGTCAAATAAAATCACATGTTTTGGAAATTGGAATTGGATTTGGGGTGTTACGATACAAGAAAAAACATACTTAATTGCAGAATCAAGATTGATGCATTTAATTAACCAACCTGTTCCCAAAAGTTGTATGCAACTTGACAATCATTTCTTCTTCATCTTGACTGAAATTTCCTCTTTTCAGGTCTCCTCTCAAGTAATTTATCCATCGGAGCCTACAGCTTTTCCCACACCTCAACAATCCTTTCAACATTCCAACAACATATATACATATGCATTAATATATTCCAATCTACATTCAAAATACAACTATGTGTGTGTGTGTATATATATATATATATTATATATATAAAGATACCTGCTTTTTTGGGTAAGGATTTCCATGAGCCTTCTCCATTGGCTTGAATGTATGTAATCAATGTTTCATCTTCTTGGGATGTCCATCTCCCTCTTTTGAGCCCTACCTTTTGGCAACAAGGCGCTCTTCCCATTTGTGTGATGCTATTCCAAACAGACGATTAATATGTGTATATATATATACACACACAATTGGCCTTGGTGTATACAAATAAAGTATAAAGAGAGAGGCTATTTATGTATGTGTGTGAGAGAGAGGGAGTACGAAGCTACAGAGATTTTTTGGTTATATATAGTTGTACATGTGCGAGAAAGAGGATGGTAATCAATCATAGTCCGTGACGGATACAAGATTTTTGTTCAGGGGAGTCACCTTTAAGGTAGATTAAAGACCCGCAAAATCGTCCGATGTGTTTTTAACCTAATTACAACGTTTTAGAGGGAATTTTAAAGTTTTTTGGTTGATTTCGATAGATTTTTTAGTGTTTTTGTTGATTTCGAATAACTTTTTTGGTTTTTTTGATTGATTTCAACAAAATTTTTTGGTTAGAGTAACGGTTTCGATTGGGGTTGGGGGACCGTGAAAAAATGTGATCGAGGAAGTGAAAGGTAAATCATGTAAAATCTAAAATTTAACCTATGATTTTTTTTTTGAGTTTTTGACTGAGGTCTCTTCCTCTTCTTTTTTGCCATTGCATCGGCCTCTGATCATAGTTCAGTTAATACAAGAAACTTTAATACACTAAATTAATGCGTTTCCTTAAAATGTAATTAATACAGAAAAATATAGTACGCTTTTTTATATTTTTTAGTTATATACAATAAAATATATATTAATTATATGCTTATTTATACCAACTATAACATTTTCATTCAATTTTAATTAAATTAACTAACGTACTAAACAAAAATTTAATTCTTGGTTTACGTTGGTTCTAATGTCTACATACTTGTAACATCTTTAACAGTTATGTTATAACAGAAATTTTGATGAATAAAAGACTTTTATTCTTTGACAACATTATTATATTGTATGGTAAATATAAAAAAAAAAGATATGGAATATGAAAATCTCTAAAACTCTATATAGAAGAGATAACTGGTATTCTAATTCTTCCCCACCAATAAGGGGTATTGAAAAGAATTTTTTTGAGAAAAATAATATTTTATTAAATGTATTGAATATTCTAATAGTATCATTAATATTAAAATTGCTAAAATAGAATAATTATTGGGATTAGATGTAATTCATTTCATTTTTTTTGTACTTTTGGTAATTTATTTTAGAAAAATTATAATATTACTATTGGATATATTTTTTTCAAAGAATAAAGCACTGGAAAAAAGAACTCAAGAAGAAGCTAATTGAAGGCGGAGGGGATTCAAGAAGTTTGAGATCAATCTCAGGTAAGATCATTCTCCCCTTTTATGGTTACCTTCTTTATTGATGTTGAACTTTGTGGGAATTAGGGTTCAATGTGTTGGATGAACGATTTTGATTTGAGAAATTGAGTGCATCTCTGTAAATAGAGTTTTGGAGTTGGTTTATATGGTTGATTTTGTTTCATAATTGATTTTCATGGTTATTGGATGAGATTCAACCACGAACCCTAAAAGATATGTGTATGATCCATTTAAATTAGAGTTCTATATTGAACCTATTGTTGGAAAGATGGATATAAATTTGAGAGAAGCTCTCTCTCTCTCTCTCTCTCTATATATATATATATATATAACAATTTAGTGTGAACTCTAATTTCTAATAATTGCTACAATCATGTTTTGAAATGGATTTGGGGTGTAAGAATTTGAGCAGAGCAGTGCAGGTAAAACTAGAAGCCGCACGGGTAGCATCGCGACCTAGGCTTGTAAGCTTCTGTTTCAATGATTTCAACTTTTGAACGAGAGGTGGTTGGAGCGGTATCTTGAGCCATCACCTTAGGAGGTTTAGTAGTGATACTTTGGGGGTATAATTAAAATATTAATTCATAGTTTGGATGACCCAATTCAGGTGCTTAGTTGGTGTGATCCTAGCTTAAAGGTGTACTACTAGGATCAGACTTCAACAACCATATACTTATCCTCTATGCTGGAATTTCTATGTAACACCCCACATTTCTCATGAATTTCTAAATGATTGGATTGAGGGGATTTTCATGGTTTTGATATTCATTTGTGAGAAAAATAATGCTTCGACTTCAATTATCCTTCGATGGGTTATTCCGGGTTGATTCAGGAATGGATCGGCCAAATTTTGGAGTTTTAGGGGGTCTGAACGACTTTCCGGGCGGCCTAAGCCGTGGGAAAAGTTTCCCCAAGTTTTTTATTTATTGTTGATTTTTGGTGCTGCTTGATAAAGACCAAAATCAAGGGGCGAGGCCACTCGTGGGGCATGTAAACCCGCACTGGAAGGTCGCCCACATCATGCCTTGGACGTGCGTGTGAGGCGTCTTGTGTGACCGAGTACCAAGGTCGGGCGACTTATGCCTCCCCATGCCCCATCGACCTAATCCAACCACCAGCCCCCATTTTCTGCTCATTTCTGATCCTTCTCTCATTTCCTTCTTTCCTACTCACTCTCTCTTTTTCAAATCCGGTTCTGGGGAATTTGGAGGAGCATTCTCGGAGCCTTTGGAAGAGATCTAACCTTATGATTCAATAGTTTTTGTGGAGATCTTTCATGACCTATTGAGCTAAGATTTTGATGAGTTTTTCTATCTAGGGTTTTAATCGTGGATCTGATTTTGGGGTTGCTCTTGGTGTATTTTTATGTTTGTTGGTGACCTATATAAAGTTTATAGTGATATATGTTTGTGGATCTAAAGCCTTCATAATTTTTGGAAGCTAGAGATGTGTTTGGAACTTAGATTTAACTTAACCTAGTAAGGTGAGTTCAAGTTGCTTTGCGAAAACTTTGGATTAACTTGAATAGAGAATCAACATTTAACATCAATAAGAGACAAACCAAGCTTTGCATCAAGACTGGGTCAAGTTGTGTGTTACTAAAACCAATAACAATCGATATCTCAAAATGCGAAATATATCATTGATTAGCTAGATCTTTCTTGTGCATCTAACTAGCACTCAATTCTTCATAGTGCCGCTAGTACCGAACCTCAACAAAGACTTGATGCACTTGTTGGCAAATAAAAAGGGTTGGACTTGACGCTTACTGAGTTCAAACAGTTTTCATCATAATTGTAAAATGGTAAAACTAAAAGAATGTTAATTTAAATCATATTTTCGCAAATGAATATATTAAAAATAAAAGGGACATCTTTCCGAAACCCATTATTTTCTTGATGAAAACTCATTAATCAAAACACCCACTTATACGCAACCAAAACCTAGTACTCACACGACCAAAAATAAAGTTATATAACATTAAAATAGAAAACATAGCTTTAATTAAGTCCTTTTGTATAATCAAAATCATCTTTACCCTTGGAAGGGTGTAAGACATCATAAGATGATAGGAGAGACCCGATTTACCATTTTTTATGACAGAACAAATAAGTAAGCCATAATCATTGTTATATGAGCATCACTTGTAGTTAAGTAACCATTCACATCAACCTTTCTGGGTCTTTAGTCAAATGAGATAACAAACTCAACTCTATTCAAGTATTTCGCAGGGAGTCATCAAATTCAACCTTTTCGGGTCTTTACCTTGATATATGCAAAATCTAAGTTAAGCTCTTTCATTTGGAAATTACATAAAAAATCACAATGTCTGTTTCCAAGTTACAATTAGGGAATCTCATCCCTTACATATTCCATAGAACCGACTATTATGCCTATGGATCCATTGCATTATAGTCTATAATTACATGACTCCAACTAAATGACCAACGCCACTCAAAACATGTAATTCCATATAAATATGTCATAACCACATATAACTCCAAGGCACAAGATAAAGCAAATTAAACCGGACAAATTTTATTTGTTGTATTATTGGAAATTTTTAAATTTTATTTGTTGTATTATTAGAAATTTTAAGTTTATTGCTATTTACAAATTTTAGGGTGTTACATACTATTTGATTTAATTTCACATAGTGTGCTTCATATACTTGAAAATTTGATAATGGTAAAGTGCGAGATTTGGTGTGAGTGTCTAGGTTGATGTGTTGAACTATGGGAAGTGTGTACCCTATTAAAGCACATAAATTGGTTTCGTGTAGCTCGTATTAAGAGCAAGTGTGAGCTCGGACGATTGCTCACAAGTGTGCGTGACAATAAACATGTTCAACCGTTGCAACGAGTATTGGTGTTTTATGTTTTGGAGCCTGTGCATTGTTTTCAATTAATGTTTTACAAGGTAATGTTTTGTCATATATATTCATGTGTTGGAGGGAATTCACTAGACCTTCCGTCTAACCCTCGTTTTTATAAAACTGAAAACATTTTCAAAGAAGTACCAATTTGAGCTTCTGGTTGTTACACATAGCGTTAATTGGTAACATGATATCATTATAGTTTCTTGTAAATGATGCAGTGTTTCGTTATCAGAGTCATAATGTTATGCATTAAAATCTTGACCAACAAGAAATTATAGTAACAACATAAAAACAAACAATAATTAAATTGAATGGAAATAAATTTGTATACAAGGAACGTATTTTTTGTGTTGTGTTTATGAAAGTAAAGTCGTTAATGTGTTGTTTATTTATAATGATGGAGTATTTTATCACTAATTTCCTTACATTATATTGATTGTTTTTATGGGTGTTCTCCATCTTATTCCCTAATTGCTCGGCTACTCTATCCAACTAAGGGGATGTTTACCTAAATGCTTACCCGATATGAGTTAACACTATAATTTATTTTGATGTGTAAGATTTTAGTACATCAAAACGTATCGAATGGAACAACTTACCTGGTAAGAGTCGTCATCTTCACTTACCCGAAAAGATTCTTCATCATTCCCATCGCTCTTACCTGGTAATATTTTTGACCCTTGTCATATTCATCCGATGAGAAAAGTAAGCGCTTAATAAACGGTCTCTAAGTCTAGAAAAAAAAATGTATAAGTCCTCAAAATGTATAAGAAAAAAAATGACAAAATTAGAAGCCTTTCAACTTGTACGATTCACACTCCTAGATCTTTAAGACGCATCCTCCACCATAGTATGGATTGTCACTATAATACAATTGATTTTTTTTAAGTATATAATATTTATA